CAGTTACTAAATTCAATCATTTACTAACTGACTTGAATGTTCGTATTCGCACGACTAATGAGTTCACAAAAAATATATCTACAATTGTGTATTTAAACTTGAAAAATATAAATTTATAATATTTATAATAATAATATTAGTAATTTTGAAAGAAACAATAATATAATTTTTGCAATAATTATATCGGAAAAATATTGCTAATGTAAAAATTATTCAATTTTAAAAAATATGGCAATCAAGGAAATGATTTTTTATGTGATTTTAACAAATTGTATAAAAATAGCAAAGAAAATACGCAGTGCGCGTGGAGACGCGTATTTACTTAACTGATTTTTAAATCTTATTTCAAAATTATGTGTCATCATAAAAAAATAACATTATAGGAAATGATCGGTAAATTACAGGTAATTTTCAGGGATAGGAAATAGATGGATATCGCCAAAAATATCGAATACAAAAAACGTACATGAGATAAATTCTCTTGATACTACCACAGTCAGCATTCAAATAAATGAATGCACAATTTATTGTCCAAGATAGCAAAACCGATCACAAAAAAAACTTTTTTTCGAAGTATAAAACATACCTGGTAAGCATTTTAAGTTCAGATATGTATCTGTCTATGTGTTGTGTTATTTTTTGTCCTATAGAATTTGCTTTAAAACATATTTGCTTCGCTGAATCATTGCACCACAGTAGAATTACTTTGAAATGCAAAACAACTTTAATTAATGGATACACGAAATCTATGATTGAACTGAACCTAAAAGGTCGTGCTTGGAAACCCGGCTTTATACATATAACACAATGAACGTAATATTAACTTCGTATTAACAACTAGATTACTACTAACTCAGAAGAAAAACACAAACTTATATATCACAAATACAAAAATATAAATAGAACCTATTTAATTGAAACTATCAATTAGTCAGTCAAGACTATTTTGAAACTGTTAAATATGTTAGGAATATGAAAAATCAGATGTTTGTATATGAATCTAGTTGTTGATATAGCTAACCAAAGATGATTATTAAAGACATGATTCCTGTCAGTTTTACTATAGGCTGCAAATCCAATTAGCAGTCTACAGTAACACTGTTCAGGACAACGCACACAATACACAAAAATGACATCAAATATTGTGCAAAGCATGGACAACAACTAACGAACGTGATGTCCTAAAAATATATATATTAACCCTCAATTTTTGCTAATTTTTTCAATTTAAAATGAAATATAAACAATTCATAGACCATGCAAATTTCTTAAAGATATCCTGATGTATTTTAATATTATATAATTATTAATTACCTGGATTACTCGTATTAAAAAACTTATATCCAATCATACATAAAAGAGAATAATACTATGTCAATGGAATAAAAATATAGCCTTATATAGTAAATGTTAAATATTAAAATTTAATATTAAAAACTATTCACTAATAAAATATAAAAATAAAAAAATAATGATATTTTTTCGTATACTATAATAAAAATTATGCTTTCATATGAGTTAAATTATTTTTTAATAAATTTTATTTCGCTTACGTTTACTATATCGACTTACCTCCTCTCTCTTCTTTTCTTTTTTCTCCTTCTTTTTCTCACTCTTTTCCTTATCCTTCTCTCGCTTCTTCTCCTTATCCTTATTTTTCACTTTGTCTTTCTTATCTTTCTTTTTCTTGGATCTCTCCTCTTTATCTTTTTTCTCCTTCTTATGTTCCTTATCTTTCTTTTTCTCTTCTACTGGTACTTCCTCTTTAACTGCTTCGATTACATTAGATTGGGATGACGTTAGAAACTCTTCATCTGTCGGAAGAACTAGCGGTGGAACGTTACAGACAGGCACTATCACAGGAGCTTCTTCCTTAATTGGCTGTTCAGATTCCTTTTCCTCTACCTCAGGTTCATTTTGTCCTTGATTTAAAAACATCCCCATTGGCGGCATGGGAGTAATTGATGACATGTGTGGCGGCTGGCCAAATGCCGGAAAGCCAGAATGTACAGGAAATGGAAATCTAGGAAACACCTTATTTACTGGCGACGATGTAAGTAACTGCGTGAACAGACTTGGATTTGGAATGAGACTAGGTGAATTAGCAAAAGGCGAATAAGGCACTCCTAAATAAGGATTTAGACCAGGAGGGCAAAAAGAAGATGACGATTCTTGAACCTCATCAGCATAATCTGAATCTTCAGATTCATCTTCTATTGGATTATTTTCAGTTTTGATCATTTTCTTTAATTTCTTTGTTTTAACTTTATCCTTCTTAGCTTTCTTTTTATCTTTTTCTTTCTCTAACTTAATTAGCGGTGATGATGCACTGAAATTATTTAATTCGGCATGCGATGATGATGAAGTGCCTGGACGAGGAGACTCTTCAAATGGAATTTCTGATTTAACAAACACGGGTTTTTGATCCACCTCCATGTAATTTCTTGAATCCTGAAATGTCGAAGACAAGATGGGTTGTTCAACTACATCCATTACTTTAGAACTTGCTTCAAATTTCTTTATATCGTGATTTATAACGTAATCATGAGATTTCTCTTCTTTTATGCTCTTCTTTTGTTTTTTGAACACACTCAATTTTTGTTTATCATTGCCAGATGTAGTGGCAGTTGGCAATTTCTCAACTTTATCTTCAACGGAGTTGACAGGTTCGATTGTCACTTGTGAATTGTGCATAAATGAAGTAGTTACTGGTGGAGAATAAGTTTGTGTTTGGTTCATAGCTTTTGGCAAAATCTTTTGCAAATTCTCCATTGTGAAATCAATTGGTTTTTCATCATCTTCTTCTACATCTATATACTGCTCCTGAACTGGAACATTATCAGTCTTAACAACACCGGTTTTTAAAGCTTTGTTCTTCAACACTTCTTTCATACTAACAACCTTCTTGCGCTTCTCACTTGTTGAAGGTGACATATCAATTGGTTTAATATTAGCACTCTCAGCAATTGCAATTGCATTTAACATTGCATCTTTGGTTTTCTTTTTAGTTTTATCCTTAGCTTTGAAGCTATGCTGTCCTTTCAATTTCTTCACTTTCTTGTGTTCATCTTTAACTAAAACTTGCTCAGGAGCAGCGCAATCGGCAGTAGCCGCTGAAGAATTATTTGATTCTGGTATAAGGATTGGTGGCCGCGCCTCAGGAAGCTTGCCTTCTCTAGCAGGCGAAATGAAACCGGACGTAGTCATCATGACGCTGCTGATTTCTCTTGTTGGTCTAGCACTACATTCTTCCTCCTTGATTCTTGGGCAGTAATTTGATTCTCATTGTTAAAACAAATAGACTATAAAACTATTTTTAAAAAAATCGATTTATATTTACCTGGGCCGTTTCATGGGCGTCTCAGTAGGGGGTTCATTCGGCCTCTTGAACACACCATCTTGTTGCTGGTTACCATTTGGATTTTCAGTCATAGCTACATTTTTATCGGTATCCGCATTTGACGCAGCAGTTGTTTCTTCTTCTTCTATGTATATTAGTTTAATGTATAAGTACATTATAAATGTTTAAATTTAGATATACAATTTTCACAATATTTTATGTGTGCTATCATTCTATATGCATACTGACTTCGTTAAAAGACCCTATAAAAAATTACAATGTTTCTTCCAGCGCTTGCGCTTGTTGGGAAGAAAAGAAGCCAACAAAACCAACAACATATTTAATCACATGAGTAAAAGTTTAAACATTTTTCATAATATTTGATAACAATTAAACATCGGAAAAAATTTTAAATAAAAAAAAACTTGACTAGTTTTTTAATTCATCTTCGCAAGATTCACCTGGTAATTGACGAATTAAGTGATGCAGGGACAAGTTCTTAAATTTCACCTTGTTCGTCGCTAAAGTCTCGAGTACGTCAGGGTTCAGCATATTTTGTTCTAAAAGGCACCGAATTGTAAACATTGATTTCAAACTAAATATTACAGAAGTAATATCACTAACCACAAATTACCAGGTTAACACAATTTTTATCGTTTTTAGGCAGTTAATAACAAAAACTAAATATTACATTTTATATAAAACCCAAGTTCAAAAACACACTAATTAATAATAATATATTAATAAATATATTCTATAAGTACAGAATACGAACACGACGACTTGTCTTCACTTCACTTGAAGTGAAGAATATACGAATATGACCGCATTTATGTAAATTGTGCAATGCATTTAAAACAAAAAATTATTAGAAATTATTATTTTACTAACTATTAATAATAATTTTACTATTTATTAATATTATTAGAAACTATTATTTTACAATATACTACTTTAACACTTAATGGACAAGTCAAATATGTTCCGTCTCACTTAGTTTCCGGGAGTTTTTCAGGAGAATTAGATGAACATAATTTAAAGCTTTGTAAATACAATAAAACTTTAATAATTATTTTTTTATAATGTATAATAATAGTATAATAGTTTATTAAAATTTTAGTATTTTTAAACCTTTACCTTTATATAAACATAAAAACGTAAATCTATAGGACCCATTCGTTAAATGTTAAAGACTTGTCTATCCTAAAAAATGAGATTAAGCGCTGCATTTTGTACTGAAGAAAAGGCATAAAATGACAAACAAAAAACAGATTTCATTTCAGAATACTTTCTCAAAAACGTCAAGAAAATAACCAAAAATTAAACTAAAATTATATTTTACATATTATATATAACAGGCTAAGGAACAACATGGACACTCATATTATGCCTATAATTCGTTCAATATTTCATACGTAAACGTTTTATATGAATACAAATGTAACATATGCATGCAAAATCCAATATTGCATCAGTAAAAAACACTTATGCATCCACATTACCAAACAAATTATATTGAAAATATCGTTGAGTTCCAAATATTGTCGCAACTTCGTTATCTCATTTCGGCTATATAATACCTTTGAGAAAACGAAGAACATAAGCCGTTATCGGTAATAACGAAAAAAAAAACGTATAGAGTTTCATATATTCAGTAAGACTGTCCAATTCATGATAATACGAACCTATTAAACAACTAAACATAATTAAGTCAACATATATCGCGTTGCATCCATTGTCAATAATGAAAACAAAAAGGACAATGATAAATTTCTTTATGCAATAAAGCCAAATGTCTAAACATGCGAAAACAATTAACAATGCTTGATAATTCAGATATCTTATTAACAATGGCATGTAACATAATATTTGAAATATAGCAAACACCTCATTGAAAGGTAAGGTTTAAACTATAAACTCGACGAATTAAAATAGAAAGCCAATGTAATTCCAAGCGTACTTTTAAATATAATTGTACTTATAAAAGAAATAATATATAACAATTAAGTTTATTTTATATATGCAAGATACAATTGCAGGACAACGAATCCATTTTATTCGGCAAATTATAATTGGAAGACATACACTTATATTATTGCTTCTATATGCAAAGGTCTAAGATATTTATGTAAAATTATTTTACCTCCTAAGAAATCAAATATGAGAATATGTGGTTATAAGTTGCCACTATTGAGTTGGTTTTCTAACATATCCATACAGTGTCCCTTTACGGCTGACAATTGTAAATTCCCCAAATTTATTAAATGTCCTTAACTGGATAGTTGCAAATAAAATAGAGAATAAAAAAATAAGTTGCCCTAATATTTACAATAACTACAACTAAGCCATTTTTACTTAAATGTTGTATTTGCATGCAAAACAATAAAATTTAAAATCCAAATCTTACCGCTGTTAACACAAAACAATTTAGATACATATATAAATATTAGTGAACCTTATACAAAAATATATTAACACAACAACTTAACTGACACATATTAAACAATATATCCAAAAACACAAAAAAGCAGAAATAATAACAAAATCAAAATAAGGTACAGGAAAATACCTATGCAACGTCTTAAAAATGTACGAAGCATAACTTAAATTTCATGGAAAAAAAATGAAATAAAACAATAAAATTTAACGCGTTTAATAATTAGTGAACTTTAGTGATGGGCGGTCAGGGAAAGACTGATGGTGAAGACGAAACTCCCTCCACATACAGGCACCACCGCGCGCGCAATATGGCTGTTATTTCTCGGATATCAATTCAATAACATTTGATATACACATATTTGTGCAGGAAATTCGTATCAAAGTTCGTCAAACACGCGCTTATTAAACATAACAGTGAATAGCTTCACCTGACAAAACATTGATAATGAAAAAATTAAATAAAACAATAGAAATGAGCAATTATAAAAGATTTATATAAACATTAATGTGTTAGTAATAGATTTTTAAACTTTAGAATTCTTTTCTCAAGAACTACCATATTGTTCCAAAATATGTGGTTTTATATTAATCTTATCCCTGTAAACTATCCCTTAAATTCAGAATAGAGCAAACAATCAGAACCTCGAGGAAAATGATTATGGATAAATCCTTCAATTAAGTTATGATACACCTTTTAACATAATCAATCGCATGAGTGGAATTTAAAACATTTTTCATAATAATCTATAATTAGCAAACATTTTATGATGGGACCCTTGGAACAAAAAACATAAAGTGAGTAATTATAAAAGTTTTATACAAATATTATGTGTTAGTTCTAAAATTTTTAGACTTAAATACTTTCGATAAGAAATCATTACGCTGTTAAACATTATACTGTTTTTGAATATCGAGATATATATATATATATATTATTTCTACCAATAAAAAATGTGCTGAAAAGCAGAATAAACAAAATTATGAGTAACAGTTTATTATTCCTTTCACTGAAAATTTTAATATATGTTGAATTGTCAGCTTAAACAGAGTCTCGAGAAGAATGATTACGAATAAATCCTTCAATTAAGTTATGATTCACCTTTTAATATAATCAATCGCATGAGTGTAATTTAAAACATTTTTCATAATAATTTATAATTAGCAAACATTTTATGATGGGACCCAAAATAATTTGGAACAAAAAACATGAAGCGAATAATTATGAAAACTTTATACATATATTAGTTGTAATGTTAGTTGTAAATTTTTAAACTTACATACTTTCGATAAGAAATCATTACCCTGTTAAACATTATACTGTTTCTGAAAATCGAGTGTGTGGAAAGCATAATAAACAAACTCATGAGTAACAGTTTATTATTCCTTTCACTGAAAATTTTAATATATATTGAATTGTCAGCTTAAACAATCAGAGTCCCGAAAAGAATGATTACGGATAAATCCATCGATTAAGTTATGATCCACGCTTCAACATAATCAAATGAGTGAAATTTGAAACATTTTTTATAATAATCTATAATTAGCAAATATTTTACGATGAGACCCAAAATAATTTGAAACAAAAAACATAAAGGGATAATGTTATAAAAACTTTACACAAATATTTTGTGTTAGTTGTAAATTTTTAAACTTTAACATACTTTCGGTAAGATATCATTACGCTGATAAACATTATACTATTTCTGAATATCGAGATAAATATTAACTCTAGCCCTGAAAACTGTGCTAAAAAGCAGAATGAACTAAGTTATGAGCAACAGTTTATTAACCCTTCGTGCTAAAAATTTCAATAAACGTAATGTCAAAGCAAACAATCAGAGCCTCAAAAAAAATGATTTCGAATGAATCCTTCAATTAGGTTATGATTCACCCTTTAACATAATCCCATCAGTGGAATTTAAAACATTTTTCATAATACTCTATTCTAAGCAAAAATTGTATATTGAAACCAAAAATAATTTGAAACAAAAAACATAAAGCGAGTAATTATAAGAACTCTATACAAATATAAATGTGTTTGTAGTAGATTTGTAAACATTCTTTCCAAAAGAAATCATTACACTGTTAAACATTATCGAGGTTAATTCTAGCCATGAGAAAATGAATCAGAAACTCGAAAAGAATGATTATGAATAAATCCTCCGACTAGGTTATTATTCACCATTTAGCGATTCAAGTTAGCATCAAGGTATTGGGATTATGGACATTTTTAATTCTAGTAAATTAGTAAAACAAATATCTATTATTCACATTTTTGAAATTATATACCACTATTACTCAAAATCCTGGTTTAACCACTATTCTAATACCACATTTATGTAAATTGTGCAATGCATTTAAAAACAAATATTAAAAACTATCATGTCAATCATATTAATATTACTAGTAACTATTACTTTACAGAGTAGTATACCTTAACACTTAATGGACAAGTCAAATCTGTTCCATCTCACTTAGTTTCCGAGAGTTTTTCAGGAAAATTAAATAAACATAATTTTTTATTTGCAAATACAATAAAAGTTTAATAATTATAAATATATTTTTTTAGGCTTTAATAATAGTATTTATTAAAGCTTTTAGTATTTTTAAACATTCACCTTTATGTAAACATAAAAACGTAAATCTATAGGACCTATCCATTAAGAGTTAAGAACATAAATCATTCAACATTATTTAATGCATAATAATCAGGAAAGATTAAATGTAAAATATTGACTGCATTTCAGGAGTATTAACATGAATACACGAAAGGTATTAGACAAAGATGTCTGATATTCGACTATGACTTTACAATGATGATTGATTAAATATAGCTATAAAAAATGAATAGAAAAGCACATTAGGATTGCAAAGCATATAATCATCATCAAATAAACAAATGTAAGATGCGTAATAATTTTAAATGTGCATAACTTTTACATATAAAATGCTAAGTTCTTTGAAAAGCTCTAGTAACAGTAAAACTCAGAGTAAGAAGTACAGCCAATATTACTGATAATAATAAAACTACAAAACAAGAAAAATGTCATTATAAAATACATATTGTACCTTCTTGTTCTGGATACATAGGTGGCAAGTATTCATGAATGTGAACAGGTCTGGTCAAAACCTCCCTGCTACCAGGTTTTAAAAAATTTAGGTGACTTTCTCTAGGGATTGGATACTGTGGAACTGGCTTTATAAATGGTACCGGTTCTACATATTGGACATATTCTTCTAAATCACCAATGGATATTTTTTTATCTTTGAAAACAAGTGCTAAATCATTAAGATTTGGTTCTGTTCTTCCAACTGTAATAGAGTATATAATGGTGATATATGTTTTGTCATTTATAAGTAACAAGTAATAAACGCATACATAATTCAGCATATTCTTTCATAGAAGTCGCCGTCATTGTGAGGTGTCTGTGTAAAAGATCCATTAATAATTCTAGAGGTGTTGATTGAATACTGTGCCATCCCACAGTATCGCATATTTGCGCTACAACTGTTTGGAGAATATGTTGAGTGTAAACATTCATCATGATAACGCTTGCCGCAATTACGTTTATCGTATAACAATCAAAACAAGTTCAGCGAAATTTACTATGTTTATAAACACATGGCAGTCAAAAAATGTTTATTTACAGGCGACGATTTATTTCTACTTAATTCTAGAATGTTTATGCATAACTAAAATATATATGTCAACTAACTGCTACGATTATGACGGCGTCGCGTCTGCGCGCGCACGGCATAGGTAACGATATACGAGATGAGAAACATGAAACAATGAAAGGTTTGGGTCATAGATAAATAAACATAATGGTTTGGGTCGAGTCTACTTCAGAAATTATTTTTTTTATAAAAAATGCGATTTTGTGTCATGCAATGCTTTTTATACAAATATTTTTAAAAAATATCTGAATTAAGTAACTGATACGCAAGCCAGTTCTTCAATATATAACAATCAAACAATTTTAGTAAAAGTCCTGAAATGACTTACATATAATATTTGCAATTTTATGTACATTATTATATAATTAATAGTAATCAAATTTGTGACAAGGTACGTATTACTAATTTTAAGTTCAAATTATAAAATGCAAAAAATCCTATCTTAATATACAAGCAAAAATGATTATTATTGTTTAAAAGTTTAACTGCCATAGCAACATAACAAACATAGAGATCCTCCGCCATTGCTGATGTATTGCACATTTGTGGCGCTAGTTTCGAAAGCGGCGGTAGCGATCAATTAGCCGCATCGTTCAGAACCTTGGAAGAAAATATCGTAGAGGTGGGGCCGAATTATCAGCTGTATTGTAGTTAATACAATAGTGCTAACTTTCTTGATAAAGGATTGGTGGTTTTGTGTTGTTTAGCGGCTAGAAAATGTTTTCGGCTGTACCGAAGAATATATTGTGAGTACTATTAATTTTTTAGTAAATATATTACGTATACGCGCATAACCATGCTACAGATGAAGTGTCACTATATGATATCGATTACTGAGTGATATTTTAAGATGTCAGATTGCGCCAAATGCCTGATTTTCTCTTATTATGTGAGAATATGTATTCTATTTTTAAACAAGTTACACAGTAATTGTGTAACTGACAATTGCAGTATAATATGATATAGAGATAGAAAATAAATTAACGCTATTAACCAATTTAGTAATGACAAAATATTCTTATGGAACAATGATAGAGTATGTTATTTTGAGCGTAATTACGTTTTCGCCGTGTATTGCGTGATGCAATAATGTGAAATATAATTAACTTGGAGGTTTTGAACATATTTTAATCAAAACAAATATATCATATTAATACGTTATTTATGTTTTCAAATATTATCAAAAACTGGAAGCACGTGTTCTAACGTCGATTAGAACAAATTCATATCAGTCAAGTAGGAAATCAGTCGCACGCTCGATTTCTTAACCTTTCATTAGTCTTATAATGAAACCGCGAAATATATGTTAATTTTGACTTGTATATAATTATTGTAAGTAATTTAAAACTTATTTGATCCGCAAAAATTAAATTATTTAATGCCCTTACTTATGAATAAAGCTAAAGCTTTTGTTTTGACAATTCTCTTAATAGCTGATGGTAGTTTTGGGGTTGACGCACACGTATTTTTATAAATAGATTTTAATAATTAATAAATATTAATTTTCATTAAAGGAATACGTTTGAGCTTATTTAAGTTACTCTATATTAACATATCATAATTGTTCTTGGGGAAATTATCAATTAATCTTTTTACAACTAACTAAATAAATTAAGCATATCGCGTTGACAGAAGATGACTCATTTGAGTAGGCGATAATTCTCGGACTAATTTTCATTTTATGTCATATCATTATATATGTTACATCATCAAAGAATGCCTAAAGATTTTTTTTTAATTATGTTCTTGCCGAATGTAATAATTTATATATTTGCGTTCATACGAATATTTATTCCATTCAAATAACAATACAACAAGATACGTGTATGAACTCGTCAAACAGTGTAAAATGAGCCAAGACAAAAAAAAACTAATTGAAACCGCAAGCGTATGTATATTATGATAAACATAGATTTCATTAGTGATGTGTTTGTTGCTTTCATTAATATCCATTTTCGATATATAGGTATTTTGACAAGCATATTGTTAAAATCTGTAAATATATATATATATATATATATATATATATATATATATATATATATATTTATATATAATATATTAGGGTGGTCTTTCATATGGAAATTTTCGAATTTTCTTGCTCCCAGGGGCTAAAATGCTTCCAAATTGATTAAAAAAAAATCTCTATAATTTTTAGCACTTAATGTTGTCTTCTAGATAGTGCGCAATTCAATCAAAGTTTTGTACGGAAATAGCATGGGAAAAATTTTAAAAAATTTAAAGATGTTTTTTTCTATAACTTAGCGAACAAATGAAAGTTGTATTCAAAATTCGACGCTCTACAAAACAAATTATAAAAAAACATGTTTTGCTTAAACGAATTAAAATCAAATTCATTTTTTGTACATTTAGCTCTGTATCTTTGAAACGGCTGGACCCGCTTTTACCAAAACTAACCACCACTTCTCCCCATCATTACGAACTGAATGTTTTTTAGACCATTTAAATCGGATACTCCGTTCTCTTAAAATCTCGATTTCTATTTTTGGCACTCTTTGCTCTGTATCTCCGTAAAGGCTGGACCTGCCTTTGCCAAAACCTAATCAGCACATCTCCCTATTAATAGGAATCGAATGTTTTTTGAACCATTCAAATCGGTTGATACGTGCGCGCGAAAACGTGAACGAAGAAATGCGGACATACAAAACACACACACATCCATTTTTTCAGCCAAAATGTTCAGAAAACTTCAAAACGTGAAGATATGCAAAAAATTTTATTTTTGATTTTTGGCCCATTACTATAACTACCCTACGAAAAGTAGTACTCAAAAATCTAATTTAAATTATATCAATAAATTTAAATAATTAATTTGTTTTTAATTTATAAATAATTTTAATTGTTTCAAAGTTTTCAAATATTTTTAAAGCTTTTGAAAAATTTAAAGTGCGGTACGGAAAGTTCCAGTAATTTGCCTTAACGCACGATGCCATGCACCACTAGTATATTAGGCTTTACAAAACTCTACGTATTGTCTGAAGGAATCGAATGTTTTATTAATCATCTATATTGATTTAGCATTTCTCTAGAAAACTTGACATCTACACGCACGTAATTTTTTTTAAAAAATTGAAATGATCAGAAAGTCCTTAAACTTAAGACTATTAAAAAATATTCATTTTCTCATTTCTTACCATTTACGTTGCGATTAATTTTAAAAATATTTAAAAATGTTAACTAACTATATAAGAAAAACATAAAATATTCGGACTGTGATATCAAAATATTCTTTCCAAATAGCAAGCTCTCCAAACAGCTTTTTTCTAAATTCTTTCTCTATTTCAGTCGCAAAAGTTCCCAAAATCTCTGACTTCTTTTCAGCAATAGCATGTTTCAATTAATTTAAAATGTTAAGAATAAAAAGGAAATGTTACTAACGAAATTCTGAACTTTTTTTCAAAACAATCGTACTGCTTTAACTGCATAGAGAAGAAATATCGAAGCGCGTAAGCGCCGCGTGGCCATCTAATGGACAAACATAGGAACCGATAGGAATGTAAACAAATTTTATACTTACTGTTAAAACCTCTATAAAATTTCAGATAATTTGATGTGCATATGTCTAATGATCATTTTTGACCGCCAAATGGCATTTTTTTTACTTTTTTCACTAGATATCCGAAACCGCTAGGCTTGCCTTCATGAAAATTTGCTAAATTATTCATCTTGTCAATACAAGTAAAATGTTTTTTGAATTATTAAAATCGGACGCTCCGTTCTCTTAAAAATTGAGTTACCGTTTGTGGCACTTTTTGCCACGTATCTTCGGAACGGCTAACCAACTTATGCCAAAACTAATCAGCACGTCTCCTTATCAACAGCAATCGAATGTTTTTTGAATAATCGAAATCGGTTGAACCGTGTTCCCGAAATTGTCGACGAAAATTTGTATCCCCACACACACACACATACATCCATTTTTTCTATGGTATGCCAAAATGTTCAGAAACCTCTGAAACGTAAAGATATATAAAAAATTTTATTTTCGATTTTTTTGCGATTACTATAACTTACCCTACGGGAAGTTAATAAGTATTGTGCCGCCGGAGCGGCGATATCCGAGTCGAGAGGGTTAATTTAGTATTTTTATATTATAATGTTCATTAGTATACTAATGAATATATATCAATCTTTGTAAATTATGAATAAATTAATACAGAATCAGCCATAAAATTTAAATAAAAAATAAAAAAGCGGTTCTTGCGTTAAAAAGTTGCTCATTCTTACTCTAAAAACAGTTTCTATCTCTATTTTAATCGCAAAACTCCCCAAATCTCTAATTTCTTTTTAACAAATATGTGCTTCAAATAATTCAAAATCCTAATAAGAAAATAAATGCAATAAGGAGCTCTAAAACCGGTTTTAAATATAGATTATCTCTCTATTTTGATCGCGCAACCTCTAATTTATTTTTAATAGAGGCTTCCAACAATTGAAACAATATTTTTTGCAATGGTAAAAAAGCCAGAAATGTTTATCAACTCATTAAAACGATTTTATTTGTTTTGGCAATGTGCTCGACGGTTAAATAATGATCGCATATTCTTGAGCATTCCGAGTGAAAATGATTTTCTAAATATAATACAGGACAATGGCATTGAAAGGTCTTATAGATTCGGCCGATTATTTCTCTGTTGGTTTTAGTTTTGTTGGTAATAAAACTAACTAGTGGTGTATGGCATCGTTCCTTAAGGCAAATTGCTCGTACCAAAAATTAAATGTTTTGAAGAATAAAAAAATAGATTTCTGAGAATTTTTAACATTTTTGAAAAAAATTGACTTTTTTGGAAAAAAAACTTTCGAACAAATGTTTTTTTTTTATTTTGAATTTTGGAAATTTTGATCTTGTTTTCAAAGCGCGTAAGCGCCGCGTCGCCGACCATAGGACAAACGATGTTACGGAACCCATAGAACAATATTGATACATAGATAAAAGAAGAGTATTGATACATATGTAATAATATGTATTGATACATATTATTAAAATATCCATAGAAGGTCTGCTAATTTGATGTGCATACGAGTATATATGTATAATGATCATTTTTGATTGCCAAATGGCACTTTTTTTACTTTTTTTACTAGATCCCCGAAACCGCTGGACCTGCCTTCCCAAAAATTTAATCAGTTCTTCATCGTGTCAATACAAGTAAAATGTTTTTTAAATTATTAAAATCGGAAGCTTTTGCCTCGTATCTTCGGAACGGTTAGACCTGCCTTTACCAAAAACTAATCAGCACGTCTCCTTATCAATACTATTCGAATGTTTTTTTGAATTATTCAAATCGGTTGACCAGTGTTCCCAAAATCGGCGACGAAAATTTGTATCCGCACACACACACATACATCCATTTTTTCTAAGGTATGCCAAAATGTTCAGAAACCTTTGAAACGTAAAGGTATATAAATATTTTCATTTTCGATTACTATAACTTACCCTATGGGAAGTAAATAAAATCAAAATTTATTTGAGAAACTAGATATTAAGAACTGTAACTATGATTTAGTTATATCGCACGTTCGCAGCACTTCCTTGCAAATTTATTGAAACTATTAAGCACATTAATTTAATACTGGGTTTGACCTACACAAGTGTTATACCAATCAACGACGAATTAAGGTGCACTCTTCATTTTCAACTTGCATATTACAGTTTTAGAATTATGTAATCATATTATAATAATTTACTTTTCTTGAGACTTCTTAAATTTGGGGCACGTCATTGTTTAAAGTAATTAACTTCCCGTAGGGTAAGTTATAGCAATCGCAAAAAATCGTAAATGAAAATTTTTATATATCTTTACGTTTCAAAGGTTTCTGAATATTTTGGCATACCTTAGAAAAAATGGATGTATGTGTGTGCGTGTGTGCGGATATAATTTTTCGTCGACGATTTCGATCGATCATCCGATTTGAATAATTCTAAAAACATTCGATTCAGATTAGTTTTTGGCGAAGGCAAGGTCTAGCCGTTCCGAAAATACGGGGCAAAAAGTGCCAAAAACGGTAACTCAGTTTTTATGAGAATGGAACGTCCGATTTTTATAATTCAAAAAACATTTTACTTGTATTGACAAGATGAAGAACTGATTAAATTTTTGGGAAGGCAGGTCGAGCGGTTATAGACTCACAATAAAAATAAGTTAAAAAAATGCTATTTGGCGGTCAAAAATGTTTTTTGGATATATGTACATCAAATTACCAGTTATTTTATAGAGATTTTAATAATGTGTACACATTTTGTGTAAATTTTTTTGGGTTCCGTATCAAGATTTTTAATTACGGTACGGCAAGTTCCAGCAATTTCCAAGGCACCATGCCATGCACCCCACTAGTTTATCTTTTAAATAATTTATATTTTTTAAATATGTAGTTTGTTAATTTTTACAGTTTTAAAATTACAGTTTTACAGAATTAATATTTAGAATTTACAGAAAACTCAATTATGAGTTCAAAAAACATATATATGAATGATAAAATATTTTATTATGTAATAAATTGACTGAACTAATAGGAATTTTATAATTCCTGAAATCGATTTCGTGCTAATGCTTTGTATAATATATAGTTTTATCAATGGCTCTTTAATGAATATATATGTATTTAAAAAATTGTTTTCAAGTACCGCTTTTTGAGCAATGCGTCATCCATTGATAACTTCTCGTCTTGTTAAACAATTGCGTAAATAAATACATAATATTTAGTATCTAATTTATCATAAATCTATCTTATGTAAAGTATATAAAAAGTATTTTTGTATATTTTTAAATAAACTTATATTTTATAAGAACGGTTATAAGAATTCAAATTTTGTCGACTGTGAGAAATCTGTTACCCATTTAATCGTTGATTTCTATTAATTTTTAACTTCCCGTAGGGTAGTTATAGTAATGGGCCAAAAATTGAAAATGAAAATTTTGGCATACCTCAGAAAAAATGGATGTGTGATTGTATGTCTGCATTTTTTCGTCCACGTTTTCGGGCGCACCGATCAACCGATTTGAATGGTTCAAAATTTCGTTCGATTCCTATTAATAGGGAGACGTGCTGATTAGTTTTTGGCAAAGGCAGGTTCAGCCGTCACGGAGATACGGAGCAAAGAGTGAATAAAATAGAAATCGAGTTTTTGAGAAAACGGAGCATCCAATTTGAATGATCCAAAAAACATTCAATTTGTATAATGACGGGTAGAAATGGTAATTAGTTTTTGGCAGAGGCAGGTCCAGCCGTTTTGGAGATACCGAGCTAAATGTGTAAAAAATGGCAGTTTTTTAAGAGAACTAAGCATCCGATTTGAATGATTCAAGAAACTTTCTGCTTGGTTTGACATAATAATTTATTTCGAAAAAAAACTTCATTTCAAATTTTTTTTTATCAAATTTTTTTTTTAATCGAAAATAATTCAAATTCTAATTTTAATTCTGGCTAAAGTTCTAAAGATTACTTATATACTCTAAATAAATATTTTTAACTTTGTAATTAAGTTTATATAATTCTTATAAATATTATACAATGTTACAGTATTTATAATAATCTATTTGAACACATCTAATATTCCTCGAATATTTCGTTACGGTACGGGAAGTTCCAGCAATTTGCCTTAAAGCACGATGCCATACACCAGTAGTCTTTCTAGATTTTGAGAATAGTAAATTTTATCAAAATATTTAACATTAAATTATTAGGAGTAGCTATAAGGCTTAAGATCCGTCCATTATAGCAAATCGTACATTCTGTTTTATTTTGGATGTTCAAAATATTTATTATAGCAGGAAAATATTTTTTAAACAAAATTTTCCTCTTATTTATTCATTATCTTTTTTATTTGAGATCTTTGAATGGTATTTGCGCTAATTTATGATATCTCTATTTTCTTTTATTTTTTAGAACATGTGGTGCGGCTTGGAACAAACAGGCTGCTTTTACAGTATTATCACGACTTTTGGGGCCCCAATGTGTAACTGAAGCAAGATGTTATCATGAAGTTACAGGCGACATTATATGCCCCTCCATGGTTATGGGGATTGACCATCTGAGGGATCCTAGGCTAAATAAGGTTCACAAAATCTATAATTTCTCTTTAAATTGAATATTTCCATGAAATAACGTTCACGAATGCATTTAACGATTTTTTTTAATTTGACTGTTATAAACGTCGAATTAATGAATGAATAAATCAATTAAGCTAACAAGCCTGCGAATTCTAAATATATTTTATGTCTATTTATATATTTTAATCATTTTTCCAGTCTCAATTCTCTTTGTTTGCTTAGTAATTACTGGTGAGTTCGTTCTCACTCAAAATAATTAAAGTCAATAGAACAAAATAATTTTAAAGTAAACAAATTTCTTAAGAATGCCATGTTACATTATTATTTGATTTATATCATATTTTGTATTCACATTTCATCCAAACTTAATTATTTGCCAGATCAAGTTGAAAAAATCAGATAAAAATGTAGAATAAATTATAGGAATCTATTCTAATCTAATTTCATTTTGCAATAGGGTTTAGCGTTTACCCTTGAAGAACGCCAAGCTTTAGGAATCCACGGATTGCAGCCTGCACGATTTAAAACGCAAGAGGAACAATTGGAGCTATGTAGGATATCAATAGAAAGATACCAAGAAGATCTGAATAAATACTTGTACCTCGTAGAATTGCAGGTACCTTTAAAGTTTCTTGAGTACAATGTTTATAAATTTAATAAGATTCATTAACGCACTTTAGGATCGCAATGAACGGTTATTCTTCCGGCTAATAAGTGAAAACATAGAAGCTATGTTACCAATTGTATATACGCCTACAGTAGGTTTGGCATGCCAGAAATTCGGTCTGATTTACAGAAGGCCCAGAGGATTATTTGTCACAATTCACGACAAAGGGCACGTTTATGATGTGCTTAAAAACTGGTATTTAAAAATATCTCTTTGAGTTAGTGCAATTATTCTATTAAGTTTTTTTTATGGATGAAACTAAAATGAGTCACAACTTTTCAGGCCAGAACCAGACGTTCGTGCCATCGTCGTTACGGATGGTGAGCGTATCTTGGGTTTAGGTGATTTAGGAGCTTGCGGTATGGGCATTCCAGTAGGAAAACTATCACTGTATACTGCTCTCGCTGGCATAAAACCACACCAGTGTTTGCCAATTTTGGTGGATGTTGGAACGAATAATGAAGTATGTAGTTTAAGGAAATATTTAATATTCTGCTCAAAAAATTAGTTATGCGTACGTCTGAATCTCAAAATATTTTTCATCTATAATAGGCCCTTCTAGAAGATCCTCTGTACATTGGATTGAGACAAAAGCGCGTAACTGGTGTAGAATATGATAACTTTATCGACGAATTCATGTATGCTGTAGTGAAGCGATATGGCCAAAATACATTAATTCAGTTCGAAGATTTCGGTAACCACAATGCATTCCGTTTCCTTGACAAATACCGCGATAGGTTCTGCACATTTAATGATGATATCCAGGGAACAGCCAGTGTTGCCGTTGCCGGTTTGTTGGCGTCGCGAAGAATCACCGGAAAGAGAATATCAGATAACAAATTTTTGTTTTTGGGTGCTGGAGAGGTACAACACAATCATTATGTATATGTTAACATACATTACTCGTTCAAACTCTTAACTTACAGGCCGCCATCGGTATCGCCGATTTGTGCGTAAAAGCAATGCAAACTGAAGGCACAACGGTTCAAGAAGCTCGGGACAAAATCTGGATGGTAGACATTGATGGTTTGCTTGCAAAGGGAAGACCAGAAGGACGTTTGGAAGGACACAAAGCCTTCTACGCCAAAGAACATGAAGTCATGAAGAACTTACCAGAAATCGTAAAGGAAGTCAAGCCATCAGTATTAATAGGTCACTTTTTATTATTTGTGATCTAATTTAATTAGAGGTTGATTTCTGAGTATGACTATAGTTTACTTCCGAATTTTTAAAGTTATAAAATCTTATTTCGCTATTTTATTTACCTTAGGAGCATCGGCTGCTGGTGGTGCGTTTACACCGGAAATCCTACGAGATATGGCAACATTCAACGAACGTCCAATAGTATTTGCATTGTCAAATCCTACAAGTAAAGCTGAATGTACTGCCGAACAAGCCTACACCCACACAGATGGTCGCGTCATCTTCGCCTCAGGTTCTCCGTTCCCGCCTCACAAGATGAACGATCGCACTTACTATCCGGGCCAGGGCAACAACGCCTACATCTTCCCTGGTGTTGCACTGGGAGTCATCGCTACTGGCACACATCACATCCCTGAAGATATGTTTTTGCTGGCCGCACAGGTTCGTGTTAATTAATAAATGCAATTATGTTTAAGAAAAATTCCTCCAAATTGTCAATAATTACAAATTTAATAAATATTTTCATAAGATTAAAATAAAAAATGTATTATTGCGTTAATCATGCAACCTTCTAAAAATTTTCAGACAGTAGCAGATCATGTTGATGATGATTTAATTGAAAGGGGAACAATTTATCCACCACTTCGAGCTATTAAAGAGTGTTCTATTCAAATTGCAACTAAGATCACACAGTACGCTTATTCCAAAGGTATTACCTAATAGAAAGATTATGTCCGATAGCAAAATTATACAAGACTATTAAAATTATACTTGAATTACAACATTAAATTGTTTCATTAGGTTTGGCATCGACTTACCCAGAGCCTCATGACAAGAGGAAATGGATTGAAGAACAAATGTTCAATTATAACTATGATAGTGCTATGCCTGTTACCTATCCTTGGCCAAGAATGCCTGAAATGAAAACTCGCCCATTAGAACCCACGATTTTGCATGCGAAAAAGTAAACTTTCTACAACTTCCTACAAAATAGTGTTCAAATGGAAATTTGTTAGAAACAAATCGTTTATAAGTAGTTTACCACAATGATTGTGGAAAAAGAAAATTTATTTAGTCATTATAAGTTCAATTTGATTGAATAGTTGATTTTGTGTGATAAAACATAGTTTACAAACAGTATTTTGAGGAACTATCCTAGACTTCGTTTATTTTGTTCAGTACTTATTATTAATAGTATTAAATTAAGTATTATATTATTTTACTTATTGCCTTTAATAAATTATTATGAAAATTGTGTATGTGTGATTGTTGATTGGAGAGTGTTGAAAACCATCTCACATTTATGTTGACATTCTCACCAGAAAATAAATACCATGTTGACTTTTTAGAAGTGTTTTAATTTGAAAAAATAGTAATTTAATACCATATAACACAGTGGATTAATATATCCATGTTCTAATAATACAAACATCTATAAGAGAATAACTCATTTCATTCAACATTAACACATCTATCAATAAATTTCTCATTCAGAATCAGTTACAAAACATGAATAGAACTTTATTCAATTCAGTTATCCTAGTACAAATATTAATAGCGAAATATTAGTTCTTTCATAACCTTTGTAGCAAAAATGGCAATATTTTTTACATTTTTTTCTCAACAAGAATAAAATATTCTCTTGATTGCACCTTGTATACAATGAATGTAAATATTTTGCATATCTTAATATAAACAAAACGAGCAGTACAATAATATAATAACTATACCACTAATTCATAAAATATTTAGTATCATTTATGATAACTTTATAATAAATCTAATAATATTCATATATTGAATTAACATTAATCCAAAACAACATTAGACATACAATACTATGTAATCATAATCCTAAATGAATTAACAATAGAAATTGATATATACTTTAGCATAAATATTTCATTTAATACTTGCTTTTCCCAAATTTAAAATAAATCACCGGTATCATTCATATCAAGCTCAAAACAATTGAATTGCTTTTGCAAACAAATTATCAAATTGTTCTTTGTAACAAAGAAACAATCACAATTAGAAGACTAAATATTTTAATATTATAAAAAAATAAAAGAATAAAAGGCCTCAGTACACAGTAAACCAATCATCATCATCTACATTATCCATTTCTGAAACATAATCTAGTCGACTGTTTCTAAGCAAACGCTCTTGTTCACGTTCTCGTACGTAGTTCCAAATTACATAACGCTGGAATAAGGACTTCAATAAATTTATACTCACTTAAAAAAACCTAACAATAATATATAATGTTCATGCAAATTACCTAGAATAAAGATGAGTTTCAACAAGTAGAATTAAACTTTCATGAGGAGCATGCATTTTTCCTGCATGCTGAAGAATCTACGTCCACATTATCAACACAAATGAGGAAAGTAATAGAACGTAGTACTAAAAACAATATAAGCTCATTCATTCATTCAAAAACATGTCACAAACATTTACCCGAAAAAATAATATAGCAAGACAAATTATTAAGTAATACATAAAAGATAGAACAAAAAATTGACAAGATTGTAAACATAAAGTAAACAAATTAAAAGTAACTAGTGAATATCTCAATGTATATCTCTAATCACGTATAAAATAGAATATGGAAAAGGCTTAGCTAACGAGTAATTAAAATTAATAATCATTAAATGTCAGCTTTTTTGCGCTCTATACTTTTATGTTTCCAATAATTAAAAAGAAAATACTACTAAATAAACTTACATAAAACGATAAAATAAACTAATAATTTGAAATTAATATAACTATCTCTAAGTACATTCAAATAATTAAATACAACATCAAAATGTAAATTATTATTTGATATCATTATTATTGATTACAATAATCAAATCACAAATGTTATCTTAAAATTGTTTTGTATAACTGAAAATATTTAGTTGGTCAATATATCTTTTAATTACCAATAAAAAAATTTCAAGGCACACATACTTTTTTCCATATGCTAAAGAAATTTACCATCTTGATGATGTATCATAATATTAATTTTCATGGCAAACTGAATAGAAAAATCTATTTGAAATCAACATAAGGTTATTGCAATAATATCGGACGTGAGAAAAAATATTTCTGTAGAGAGAAATTTTATTTAAACATCTAAGTGAAGAGAATTTGTAAAAAAAATCAGATTTCTCACATATGATGTCATTGCCACAACATCCTAACTCTTATCACTGATATATACAATCACAGAAACACGCATATATATATATATATATATATATATATATATATATATATATATATGTTTAATTTGAGTTAAAAAGTCCGGCGTTTCATCAATAAAAATAGTATGAAAGTTTTTAGAAATTTATTTATTTAAAATCCATATGTTACGGCTATCAATAAGTGGCAATCAATTTAACTAGAAAAATTAAAACTAAATAAATAATATGTAAGAAATTTCATAGAAAAACAATAATGATAATAATAATAATAATAAAACACTTACAATTTTGTATCCTAATATAACACATTAGGATACAAAATTGATAAAATATATATTTTTCAACATCACAGATGGTAAAACACACAAAACATGATAACTTAACAAGTTGTCGAAACTATGTATTTACTGTTCTGAGATTAAGATAGAAATGTCACATTTTTTCTTGAAGCAGTTTTTAGCATGTGTTCAAATTTTATAGGAAAAATTGATTGCCACTGAATGCAGGCTAAGATGCTAGCCGAAACGTATGGATTTTAAATAAATAAATTTCTAAAAACTCTCATACTATTTTTATTGATGTAACACCCGACATTTTAACTCAAATTAAACATATTATATCAACATCAAATTCAAGGCCATATATATATATATATATATATATATATATATATATATATATATAAAAATATGAACCAACAATCAGACATTATAGCAATAGTTTTATGAATTATGCACATAAGTTCATTTAAAACTCTTAATCTTAAGCACACTATTACATTGTGAATTATCATGTAATTTTTAGACTTTATTATTATTAAATTATAAATTTTAATTTGATTATTAATTAAACAAAATCTATATATTGATGTAACGTCTAATCGTTAGAACTGAACCTCCAAAAACCTCAATATCAAATTCAAATTATTTATACATATATGTGTGTGTGTGTGTGTTTGTTGCACAGTGGCAGCCGGTGGATAATTAAACTGGTACTTTTTAATATCCGACATATATACATTACATGTCACCATTAAATGGAGCTTCATAAAACATTTATCATATACAATTTTTTTAATTAATAAGTTACATAATGTAGTGATTGTAAGTAGAAAAGGGTACTGAGTCAATGAAGCCCAGGAAAACAATTCAATATATTTATTGAAAATTTGAAAGGGGTTATTTCCTTTTACTTTAAATGATCATAAGAATAATTAGTTTAAATAAAGGGTAAATAAAGTTATGAAAGCATAGAGTTCCTACTGTCCGGATATTAAAATTTGCTTTCGGTCGCCGTCTACAATCAAAATAAGCACAAACTGATTTTGCATGTGTGTTTGCTTTATACATTGAAAGTTGAAAGAGGCAGAAATGAACTCTCATTCGTTGGAATACATAATTCTTTGATTATGTTCAAAGTAACTCACAATATTGTGACCCAGTTCATTTAGGGTTAATAAATAATGAACAATAATATTTGTGTACAGAATAAATAACCCATTTTCAGGAATAATACCAAAAAAGGTAGAAACATCTTGAAAAATGTAATTAAATATTTAAGGAACTTACGAAAGGCAAAGGTTGCATTTGAATGTTTTAATTTGATACTAAACATAAATACACCTAAGTCTGTTTTTACACGGTCTTTTTGTACACGGTTTTGATATAACACGGTTTGAAAATTGAATATTTTTAATTTTTTTACACAATTTTATTCCATTTAGCACGATTTGAAATTTTATGTACTTAAATTTTTTTGTCAAATTTAATTTTTGCGAAGTATGTTCATATCACAAAAAAGTATTTATGAAAGAAAAAAGTCTGAAACCATCGATAGTATCGATAGTTTGCGAACACTAGCTTAAAGATTTAAGTGAATTCCCCTTTAGCGCGTACAAACAATTTTTACTGGTCAAAGCAAATGTGAATAGCACTAATTTAATTCTTGTTCTTAAAAATTCTTGTTTTTCACCAATTTTAATAGGTTTTAGAGATTAAGAACAAATCACCCATTTTTGTATAAGATCAATGTCTTTTTTTACACGTTTTTTTTTTTACACGGATTCTTCTGGAACCAATCTCCGTGTAAAAACAGACTTAGGTGTATATATATATATATATATATATATATAATTTTAAATTTGTTGTTGATATAATATATTATATTGGTTTAAAGATCAAGCATTACATCAATAAAAAATTGTATGAATGTTTCTTTTAATTCATGAAAAATCCATATGTTTCAGCTTTCTTCAGTGGAATATATTGTCAACCATAATAATTAAACTAAGTAAGTAACTTGTAACAGTTTATGAATAATAATAATAATAATAATAATAATAAACTAATTTTAATCTGTCTACAGTCAGTACACAGTTTCGATAACTTACTATATATTATACATGTTTATTTGTGAGGTTTGTTGTAATGTCAAAACATACATTTTACAAAAGTGTACAATTTAATACCATGGAGCAATTAAAGTTAAGGATACCAAATTGTAAGTGTTTTTAGATAGTTTATTATTATTATTAACTTCCCTATACTATTGTCCAGATATTTTGTACGATCTCTCATACCAGACACTTCCATCTATCTGAGATGTGTAAAATTTATATTTTCAATAAAATAATAAAAATAGGGTGTTATAGTAATCGCAGAAAAAAACGAAAATAATTTTTTTTATATATCTTTACGTTTAAAAGATTTCTGAACATTTTGGCATACCTTAGAAAAAATAGATGCATGCCAAAGTGTGTGTGTGTACTATGTGCGAGTACAAATTTTCGTCCACGAATTCGGGAACACGAGTCAACCGATTTGAATAATTCAAAAAACATTCGATTTGTAATTGTATTTGATTAATGATAGACGTGCTGATTAGTTTTTGGCAAAGACAGGTCCAGCCGTTTCAAAGATACTACGCAAAAAGTGTCAAAAACGGTAATTCAGTTTGTGAGAGAATGGGGCGTACAGTTTGAATAATTCAAAAAAATTATGCCATACACCACTAGTTTTTATTTCTAAACTGTTTCAAATTATTTACTTACAATTAGTTTAATTATTATAGTTGACAATATATTCCAATGAATGAAGGCTACGATGTTAGCCAAAACATATGAATGTATAATAAATCTTTATAAAACATTCAAACATTTTTTTAATTGATGTAACGCCTGATCTTTAAACCTAATATATATATATATATATAAATATGTGTGTGTGTATATATATGTATATATATATATATATCAGTAAGTTCTACTAAGGCGATACATCAAACAAAAGGCAAAAATTGAAAATTTAAAATAAACTAGATAACTATAAAAAAATTGGTAAAAACTATATATAGAAAGAAGCTTGTTTGTTTTCTCTTTTTATGGCTTTTGTCTATATATATATATATATATATATATATATATATATATATATATATATATATATATATATATATGTTTTTATCAATTTTTTCATAGTTCATATTAATTTTTCACTTGCCTACATTGATGATGATATAAATATTCAAGTCAAAATATTTGGAAAAATTAAAGATTAATTTATAAATCTTTACCTTTCATTTAATGTTATCACCTTATAAGAACTTACTCATATCTCATCATCAAAATTAACTACTTTAACATTATATATATATATATATATATATATATATATATATATATTATATATACATACATACATATATATATATATATATATATATATATATATATATGTATGTATATTTTATTGTCCAAATTATGTTTGTAATCTAGAAAATGTAAAGTGTATCATCACAGCCATAACTATAAATAAATATTTCCGAAAGCTGACATTATGCTTTCTACAAATATTAAAATTCATTAAAATTAAAGGAATGCAAACTCTAAATGGAAAATAATAATATTGCATTAGAGGTAAAGGCAGTATATAACAATTTGTATATAAAAATACTACTATAGTGAAAATGCATCCATATCTCTGAGCAAAATCACTTTGAATGCAAGCAAACTTCAAAGTGTTTTTTTTATCACACAAAACTAAGGATACATTCTCGTATCACGCGAATCAAATTGTTTTATTACTTTAGTGGCTTAAAGAATGCAGAAAACAAAGATAATTTTAGCAAAAACAAATTTCAATTAACAATTATTTTTAAAATAAGGCCAGCTTTTAACAATTTGACACACTAACAGCTATAAAAACCCTTACATTAAAATCTAACTTTAACTGATTTATTAAAACAGAAACTAATTAGGCATTGAGTTTCATCTGACTTTAAAGAATGCTATATTAAAATATGTGCGTTACTTTAATGCCTATCTAATTAATACTTGTGATTTCATTCTGTTATATCATTTATACAGAATATTGCGCTATTTTTATTGTTGTAAAACATACAACATAATAATAATTGAACTTATGATTAAAATACATAATTAATAAAATTAACAGATAGAAAATATCCGCAAATAATTGAATCAAAATATAAAAAGTTAAAACTGTTTATAGTTAAAATCCACACTAAAAAATATATAACCATTAATAAAAAGTATCAATATAAAGTAGAGAAATATCAAACATTTAAAAAAGTTTCATAAAATATTGTTAACCCCGCTAGTATTTGGTCAATAGAATTTGGTCAATGAGAAATTACATAACAAAAATATTAGAATATAATTTGCCAATGCAATTTCTTTGATTCTATCATTTGGGATCAGGGAGAAAGTAACTTGATATGTAGCTATCATTGTGAATGTATAATATGTATTCCAAGAGATGCATTGTGCCATTGAAGTAATAAAAGAGCAAGACGCCTTCTAACCTGAACCATGTCAATGTCCATTTCACGATTGCGTGATCGCCTAACAGGGGGTCCTACATCAGCCTTGGTTCCATCTGGCAATGCATGTAGGTAGAAGCATTTGTTTCCAAATGGGCATTTTGCTCTTCCTTGCTTAAAATGTTTGCAAGGCTTCTGACTCAATGCTTGCTTGTAGTCGGTCAAAAGTTTATCTTTGCCACATGTAGCATCAACCCAAACTGAACTTGGACAAACAAAGTCAGAAGTAACACGGCATTCCGGACAAGCCCTAAAGTAATTCAACTCTATTATGCAATGCAAATAATAAATTTCTCAATACTTTAGTCAATATCATCAAATTAACATTATTATACTAAAATGCAGCATTGCTTAAATAACTAATAAAAAAACATAGTATATGAATAAACAAATGAAAGTTTATAAATTAATATATAAACTATATGGAATATATAAATAAAATATTTTCTACATTCCATTGTGTAATACATTGATTCCACATATACCACTTATAATTATATTTAAAAGAGTAAGAATTTATATTTTAAAAGCATAAGAGAATTAAAAAAAATTATAAAACTTTAAAATTTTCGGTTACCTAATAATTTTATTTTCAAATTGTCTAGCTTGTCTCCATTTACGAATGCAAGTTAAACAAAAGCTATGATTACAATTAGGCAGTATTCCAAATCGTTTTTCCCTTTCAGGTTTTTCCATAACAATTTCATAGCAGATGCCGCAAGTCTGTTCTCTAGACCTATTCAGAGCCTCTTCATCAGGTTCTTGCAGAGTTGGTGGCGCTGCAGATGCTTGTGGCACTTGGTTTCTAGGAATGTTAGAAGAAGTAGACATATTATTGAGGTTGATATTTGGTCTATAGCACATTTTTTCAATTTCGCACTGCATCTCTCCGTCATCATCAGATTCATTCTCATTAGTATCAATTCCACGAGCAGCTTTAATAACTTTTGATATATGTTTACAGCAGCATCGAATCTTCAGTCTTGAAAGCTAGAAGAAATCATATTAAATAGAACCAAACCATATAAATAAATGTAATAGCATTAAAACTTCTTTAAATATCTTGAAAAATTATTAACCAAGAAACTTAAAATTCTTCTAGTAAAACGTAATCAGAAGTGAGATCTGATTTCAATTGAAATCAACTATTAAAGCAAATGAACCAGCTTGATTAATTTCAGTAAGTAATGATTGTAATGTAATATCGAAAGTATTTTCTTTTTCTTTCTAGACCTTGCTGATGAAAACTTGATACGGCAAACATATTTTTTTTTACCTGTGGTGCAGATTGAGAATAATCAGTCTGGCCATTTGAGTTTGGTACAAACTCAGCTGCATTTACCCAATTTTCTTGCACAACCGTCGTTGAGGGATTGGGATATTGCTGCACTTGTTGCATCGGATTAAAATTATTGGTTTGATTAACTGGAACACTTCTAGCATACGACGCATTAGGAGAGGAGTTAATATGCAAGTAACGACATTGCTCTCCATTACGGCAATTACCACGTTGAAAAAATTTGCACAAAGTTCTGGGCATCTTGTCAACTATTATTTAATAAACGTCTTGAATTTTATAAGGCGACTATTGTTAATTCTAGCTTTTAAGAACGAATGTTCTGGCGATAAAGTTTCTTAATTACCCTCAGAGTTGGAAGACATTATATACGTATTCGTTGTTCGTTCTTGTTGCAGTGCTTAGTCCAACACAAAACAATTAAATATACAACATGCAGTCAACATAAATTAATTAAAGATTAAAATCAACAAGAACGCACACAGCGACCACAGCAACAAATCTCCTTTATTCTGAACAATAGCAGAAACTTTACGGGCATAGACAATATTTACGCTTTGCCTTTATGAGATGTTTGTTATTCTTGTGCTTTTGTTTTGTTTGCATCTCGTTTTTGCATTGCCATGTTGGTATTTCGTAATACTATCGTACTTCAAGTTGCTTTCATGCACGCAGAATTCAAATTCAATCGAATAGACTTGTCGGAAAAAATAATCACCCATTGGCATTATAAATATATTATAAACTAGTGGTGTATGGCATTCTGACTTAAGGCAAATTTGGCAAGTATTATTAAAACTTCCATAAAATATCTAGTAATTTGATCTGCATATGTCTAATGACCATTTTTGACCGCTAAATGGCATTTTTTTAATTTTTTTATTAGATCTCCGAAACCGCTAGACCTGCCTTCCCAAAAATTTAATCAGTTCTTCATCTTGTCAATACAAGTAAAATGTTTTGTGAATTATTAAAATCGAACGCTCCGTTCTCTTACAAACTAAGTTACCGTTTTTGGCACTTTTTGCCCAGTATCTTCGAAACGGCTAGATTTTGCCAAAAACTAATCAGCACGTCTCCTTATTAATAGGAATTGAATGTTTTTTGATTTATTCAAATCGGTTGATTGAAAATTTGTATCCGCACACACACACACATATATCCATTTTTCTAAGGTATACACAAATGTTCAGAAATCTTTGAAACGTAAAAATATATAAATATTTTCATTTCGATTTTTTTTTATTACTATAACTTACCCTAAGTTAATATGAGTCATAATCAATAATAATAATATTTCAAGCGTTTCTCAGACTTATTCATAGTAATTATTTATTTACATATTATAGTTACTTAAATAATTAAAGTAAAATTATTTCATTATACATTTATTTAATTGAGTTTTGTAGCACTATTTTCGATTCTGAAACAAAAAGCTGGAATTAAAAATACATTTTGCATTCAATATTTATAGCTCTATTATAAAGTCTTATTAATCTCTTGTGCAATAGTAATAACAAATATAAAAAATGAAAAATAATATTTAAAAGTAAATTAATAAAACTACAAAATATAGCTGCACAAAAAAATAAAATTATGAAACTATTTATATAAATATTTAGTGATAAAATAATTATAGAAATCGAATTAAATATTGAATTCAAAGATAATGTAACAAACAGAATCATTTTCGATAAAAGCTCCTGCAAGAAGCAAAAAAAATATTGTTTTCGCGAACGCGCGGATATTAGATTTTAACTTATTTATTCAATGTTTTATTTAGTTTTTAACTGTTTATAGCAATTTCATATACTTATTTTTTTCTTGAAAATCAACCCTTCTTAAAACGGTCTAATAAAATATACGTGTGTAGTATATGATTATATATCAGTAGTATATTCTCATAAAAACGTAATTCATAAAATCTGTATACACTTAATTTTTTTTAAATTAAATTTGATTACTGTAAGTTTCAGAACAGATTTATAAAATATTCTAAACAAATTCGACTTTATTATATGATACCTATTTTTTTATTCATCTGGACAAACACTCCTGAGATCTAAATGCCCTGGTTCTTAAAAAGCATAGAATGTGCAGGAAAGTGCAGGAAGTTTGTACATAATGGTTGATATTGTAATAAATAAAATCGTCTAAAAATAAACCTATATGTGTCTGTTCAGACGATATGCTAGATTCCTGTACGAAAATGATGAATGCAACATAAAACATTAAAGTATCGTGTTTCATAGCACACGAATTTCGAAAATTTTAAATAGAGAAATGTAGATTCATGATTACTTATGAATATAATACATACATGTATGTATAATCCCACATAATACGCCACTTTTTACTAGCCCCTGCATCCCGCATAATAAGCCTTCTGGCTAAAGTTGCGTTTTTGGTCCGGTCCCTGGAAAACCATCTTAACTGGGTTTTACTGTTTACGCATAATTGAAGTTTTCCTGAATGGCTATTATTACTTAGGATTTCAATTTTATAAACAAGAACCCTTCATTTTTACTCAAGCAATTATTTTATTAATTTTTTATATATTTTATTCTACGCTTCAAAAATATGGAATGTGCATTTAAAACAATGAAACTGAAAAATTTTCTAAATTAAAATCAAATTGGAATGAAACTGAAAAAATGTCTAATTTAAAATCAAATTGTAATGAAACTGAAAATTTTTCTAATTAAAATCAAATTGGAATGAAACTGAAAAAATTCTAATTTAAAATCAAACTGGAATGAAACTGAAAATTTTTCTAATTAAAATCAAATTGGAATGAAACTGAAAAAAATCTAATTTAAAATCAAATTGGAATAAAACTGAAAAATTTTCTAATTAAAATCAAATTGGAATGAAACTGACAAATTTTCTAATTTACAATCAAATTGGAATGAAACTGAGAAATTTTGTAATTAAAATCAAATTAGATATTTACAAGAAATATTGTTTAGATATGGTTTTTTGGTGATTGTTATGCCGTGGTTTAAAATTTATTTATATGTTTCAATTTTATACTTATTAGACTGTCAATATAAGTTTTATGCATTTATATATTTAATATAGTTGTACATAAACGTGCATGTTTATTTTTATAATTGAAAGGAGATGTATAAATAATTATAAATTAAATTAAATCGTTTAAAAACCGAAACTAACTTTTTGTTATTTATAATTACAACATGTATTTCGATATATGTATTTAACAAACAAAAACTCGTCTTACGTTGCAAAAAAATCAAATGCAATTTAACTTTGTTAAGTATATGGGCGACGGGACTTGCTTTAGAGATCCTGGGTTCGATAGCCACTTTGAGCAGCCTGTTGTCAGGCAACAGTGACAACGATTTTCACTTCGAAATATAGATAGCAATATGTTTCCAAGTGAAAATTACAAGCCAGCCCTATTAGATAAATCTAATAATAAAATCATCAAATATGGATGAATTTACCATTGAGTTACCATCTAAAAATATGAAGTAAGGAGAAGTTTCAGCCCAACAGCTTATAGTACATGAGATTCTGATTGCTGTTAATATATGAGGAATATATATATATATATATATATATATATATATATATATATATGGGCTTAAAAGCAATTTTTAGAACAAAACATAGTTTGTTGACACGCCCTGTATTGATGCGCCTACAAAAATTTTCTCCAATAAAATTCGATTTGTATTGCTTTAACTTGGATCTAAATTTGCTTTTTTGTCTTGACTTGGAAAATGTTTTCATCATATGCAAATACTGTACAAATACCATTTTCTCATTTACCATTTAGTAATTAATGTGTGTTTTATTTATAATAGCAAAAGCAAAATTTTGCAAAATGCTGCTTTTTTATTTATATTCTGCATACTTTCTTAATTGCATCCAGCAAGGGAAATCTAGAACAAGGTAGGATATTAAATAGGTAGCTGGTCTAAAATAAAAATGTAGAACTAGTTAGTATCGCTAACAATTCCTTGATTAGCATTTGGTTTCACTTGAATTTCAACAAACACCAGAATAGAAATAATCTAGCGTGTAGAATAGCACGGTAATAGTTTGGATAAGATATTTTTGGTTCTGCACAGCGGACCAGTTTAGTTAGTTACTTATCCGTTACATATTAAGTTAAATTCGACGCATGCGCCTTAACTAAAATTAGTGACTTTATTTTGGAAGGGGCCGAGTGGGGGAGTATAAGGTTACAAATATATTTGAATATCTTTAGCTTGGACGCCACGCTTTGGGTTGTTATTCAGTAGTGAATCGCCAGACGGAGGGCTAACACTGCCTTTAACTTTTCATTACTCCAGATGTAAGTTTTCACAACTTATACCAATATATTTTAACTATAAGCGAGTGATATCAACTTAACATATCTTTTGCGACGTTTAAGCAAAGTGCGCTTATTTTACATTATTCTTCAGTTTTGTTATATGTGGATACTTCTATAACGTATGTGCATAATGAATAGTTCACCAGTGCTCCATTTGGTTTAATCAAATACAAGATATTTTGTGCTGCTAAAATATGTTTTGAGTGAAATGCACAGCAAACGTTTAATTAATTTTGAAATTCAAATGCAACGACATCTATTTCAAATAAACGTGCCGAATATTTAACTAAAAATTTGTAACTCAGAACAATTTACTGTAGTACACTTAACGATTTATTAAAGTTTAAGAAGTGCCTATACCTGGATATACGATCACAGGATTCGCCAGAATCCTAAATAAAATATAGTAAAATCCATAAACTACGACTTTTGCACGACTACGATTTTATTCATTGTTCTGCGTACTAAATTTTAAGTTAAATATTTCTTTGGTGTCGATAATTTGTTCATCAACTGTTTATTAATTAGTAAATATTAACCAATATTCTTCAAGCACTTTTGGAAGTACGAACGATTTTATCGAAGTGTGGTTCATTTGAGATAACAAGCAACAAGTTCTATTAAATTGTAATCATTCTACACAATCATTTGACAATATATCGAAATTTTATGAAAGATTAATTAATTAATCGTTTAATTTAATCACAAATCTTTTATGATAACTCTATGGTGGTAATATCGATGAAATTTTTCTGTGCCGATGATATTCCATCGAAACTGGAGTTTTATTCTTATATAAAAAATAGATTCGATTGATAAATTTAAATTTTATTTTAATATACTAGAAGTATTTAAAACTTCATAAAACGCTTTACTTGCAGTTTGAAAAAAGTTTAAACCTTGAAAAAAATTACGTAAAAATCATGCAATTCAGAAGTTTTCTTAATACGTGTTTAAATTGCCTGAAAAATAATTCAATATTATTATACTTTCTAAATTTTAAAAAGTTTTAAAACCCTTTAGTTTTAGCTTGCAAAAATGTAGCATCGTTGTAGAAAATATTCTCTATTTTCTAACGTACTTTAAGCACTAACCATGCACATATGTACTCTTATGAATATAAAAAATAATTATATATATATATATATATATATATATATATATATATATGTATATGTACATATATATATATATATATATATATATATATATATATATGTACATATATATTTGCAAATGCAAAAGGTTTATGAATGAAAACAATATTATTTTTGGAACGTACTGCACTTTTTGCACTGTTTTTTGCAAGTAAATCCAGAAAAATTGTTTTTCGCAAAGTCGTTTTTTTAACTTCCCGTAGTTAAATAATATGTTCATATTTATAAAAATAATATATATATATATATATATATATATATATGGGGTAGGGCGGGGCACAAAAGTCCGATTTGACTTTGAGCAATTATATTGTGAAAACTAAGCCAATTACATCACAACAAATACCACATACCAAACAAACAACTATCAAACTATGTTCAGCAAAACTCCCAACTAATTCATCATTGTAGAACTTATTTTTAAATTTATTTATTATTTCAATTTTTCAGTTATTTTTTCAATTTTTCAAAAAATTGTCACTTGCTCCTTTTTATCCCATAGGCAGCGTGAAATGGGACAGCTAGGTGGCAAGCAGATCCAATGTCTTATTTTTAATTTTAAAGAGATGTTAGGAAATAATAGCTACAATATTCAATTTATGCGATATATAAATGTCATGTTGGTAAAAATTCCTAACTTTACTTGTTTTTGAGATATTGTTGGTGGACCTTTTTACCCGCGCACCTTTAAACCTCGCTCTATCCTATAAATATTTATTTAAATTTGTATGTTTTAATTTGTATAAAGAGAAAGTATCCATATGTAAAAATGAAAAAAAAATATATATATAATACATATTTATAGCACATGCAAAAAAATGTAAATATAAAATGTTGCGGATAAAATTTTCATTCATAGTTCAAATTGCGATGGCATTCTACGGCCTAATCAGAGTAGTCTATTAATAACCCCAGAATTTAATAAATATACCGTATATTAATAACATAATTCGAATTCGCAAATGATGTGTACTCTATATCAGTTCTTAACTAAAATTATTTCGCAAAATTTATTAGTTAATTCCTCAAAAAAATCTTTTCCGGAAAAATAGCCGTACTATCGGCCATAAAACGATTTATTTAAAATCTGCAAACGGTAACGCCTTTCACTGGCTCAGCCTGCCTCCGTATTTTGTTTATTTTGTATTTTTAGGCCGATTTAAATTTAGACGTAGCTGAGCTGGCTACGGAAATAGATAGCGTTCCGCGTCCGCCCGTGCCGCGTCGTAGCCTTATATGACTTCACATCGGGCTAGATGTTAGGCCGAGAGAAATGGGCACGAGGCGAAAGATATTCCATTCATTAAAAATATTATTTTAATTTTCATGTCGACGATTACGATCATGAATAGAAATGACGAATTTGATAATGTAATTGTTTTACGAATAAATTAATATGATAATTATATTTATTCATGAATATAATTAATTTATTTTATTACTTCATAAAAAATATGCACATAGAGAGAAATGAATATAATAGTTTATATATATATATATATATATATATATATATATATATTAGGGTGGTCCTTAAAATGGTCATTTTCGAATTTCCTTGCCCCCTGGGAGATAAAAAACAATTCTCTGAAAGTTTTAGTTCTTAATATTAACGTTTAGATAGAGCACAATTTAATCAAACTTCGTATGGAAAGAGCATGAAAAAAATTTTGAAAATTAAAAAAAAATGTTTTAGGTATAACTTAGCGACAAATGAAGGAGTTTTATTCATTCATTTGTTCGCTAAATTACATCTAAAAAACATTTTTAAAATTTTTGAAAAATTTTCCATGCTATTTCCATATAAAACTTTGATTGAATTGCGCTCTATCTAAACGTTAACATTAAGAGCTAAAACTTTCAGAGAATTATTTTTTATCTATTTGAAACCATTTGAGCCCCTGGAAGCCAGGAAATTCGAAAATGGCCATTTTAAGGACCACCCTAATATATATATATATATATATATATATATATATATATATATATATATATATATCCTTGCTTCCAGAGGCTCAAATGCTTCTAAATTGATAAAAAACAATTACCTGAAAAGTTTAATAATAATTTAAAGCTCTTAATATTAATTTTGAGATAGCCCGCACTTCAACCAAAGTTTCTATAAAAATAACATGGGTAAAAATTTTATTTCTTTTATAATTTAGCGAAAAAAAAATCAAAATTTAGAAAATAACATTGTATTTTCTTCTTTTGATTATAAATTACAATAAAAATTTTATATATTTTATAACGTAAGTATTTACCTAGGAAGAAGAACCAAGAAAGGTTAGAGTGCGGACTATCTATAAAAGTTAATATTAAGCGCTAAAACTTTCAGATAATTGTTTTTTATCGGTTTGGAAGCATTTGAGCCCCTGGGAGCAGGGAAATTCGAAAACATCCGTAATAAAGACCACCCTAATATATATATATATATATATATATATATATATATATATATATATATATTGATCCTCGAACAAGGAATCGAATGTAGTCATAAAGAACCCAAAAAGTTTTTTTTATTATATATTGTCGAAATTTCAGAACTATGTGCATTTCATCTTAAGAACAACTGACATGATCTTGATTAAAAGATAAAAACTAATAGAATCAAAACTAGGAATAAATGGATTAAATAAAGAAATATCAAAATAATAGTCAAAACATTTCAAATCACTTTCTTATTTCTATATTTATATATAAATATGTGTGTGCGTGTTTGTGTTTGTATGTATGTGCGTAACTGAATTTTCAATAATGAATTTATTACGTAACACTCCGTAATGAGATCATTCACAGTATTATAATAGTTAGTTTTATAAACAATTTTTATACCTAGTATTCTTCTTTTAGTTTTTTCTAAATTTTTGTAAACAATTAAAATAATATAGTTTTTTCTTTCAGAACTTTCAAAATCAACTGCAATCATGTCCGACGAGGAAGAGGTCTACAGGTAAAGATTTGAGATAGTACCAAGTTTGAAAATATTTATTTTCGCATAAATCATTTTATATTTTAGACAAGTTTAAAAAATCAATCAATTAAATCATTTTTTGAATAATAATGAAATATTCTTCTTTTTAAATTTTCAGTGAAGAAGAGGAGGAGGAGGAGGAGGTCGTGGAGCAGTAAGTATTTTTCATATGCTTTGAATTTTATTTTGGTGCCAAATTGCTAAATAATTTTTTTCATTTATTACAGAAAGTAAGTGTCGTCAACCGATCTACCTTACTTCAGCTTTATTCAACTTTAGCAAATAATTTAACTTTTTGAAATAAAAAGTAAAATAAAATATTAATATTTCGCATGTGATGAGTAAGAATTAAAAAATAAATTTATATGTATTTTGGTAAGGCGAAATTAACGTAAAAGGAAGCAACTGCATTGCTATATAATTTTATAAATCTGCATGTGAAACTGCAAAATTTCCGATTTGTCAATATCAATTTTATTTATTCTTATTTATTTTTCATGGCGATCTTCTAAATTCATTTCCGACTATTCCACTGAGCAGACACACGACCAAAGTAGAGTAAGTAAAGATATATTATTTGTCTTAATTATTAATGTAATAAAATTCTTATAATCTGTCTAATCGCTTTGATATTTTTAATTGCAGAGGCGATGCAGCTGCTGGAGACCCAGAATTCATCAAGGTAAAAAAAAAAAAAATGTTGAAAAGTTTTCCAAATGCAATTTTATAAACATGTGCTTATGTTGATAAATTTGTCTCTTCAGCGTCAAGACCAAAAGAGATCAGATCTCGATGATCAACTCAAGGAATACATCTTGGAATGGCGCAAACAGCGTGCCAAGGAAGAAGAAGATCTTAAACGCCTTAAGGAAAAGCAAGCTAAGCGCAAGGTACAACATGTTTGATATTGATAATTTGTTAGATAAATTATATTACATCAAATAAGTAATAAATCAATTGTGTTGTTATGAAAATAAAAATCGGATTTATCCAATGTTCAATCTAGGTATCCCGCGCTGAAGAAGAAAAGCGTATGGCCCAAAGGAAAAAGGAAGAAGAAGAACGCAGAATAAGAGAAATTGAAGAAAAGAAACAAAGAGACATTGAAGAAAAGCGTCAACGTCTCGAAGAAGCCGAAAAGAAACGCCAGGCTATGCTTCAAGCCACCAAGGATGCCAACAAGAAGGGCCCCAACTTCACCATCACCAAAAAGGACAGCAACGTTAGTATTTAAAATTATTTCATGCAATATCAAATAAAATATAAATATATATGTGTATATATTCATTATTTTAGTTCAACATGTCTTCTGCACAAATTGAAAGAAACAAGACCAAGGAACAATTGGAAGAGGAAAAGAAAATTTCTCTGTCCTTCCGTATCAAGCCTCTGGATATCGAATCTCTTAGCGTTGAAAAACTCAGACAAAAGGCCAATGAACTTTGGGAATGCATCGTCAAGTTGGAAACTGAGAAATACGATCTGGAGGAACGCCAAAAACGCCAGGACTACGATGTAAGTATTAGAACAATATATCATCCAACTTATTATTAGTTTAAAACTAATGATGTCTCAATCAACTAGCTTAAAGAATTGAAAGAAAGGCAGAAACAACAACTCAGACACAAAGCATTGAAGAAAGGATTAGATCCAGAAGCCCTCACAGGAAAATACCCAGTAAGTTCTTTTAACAACAAGGTTGAATAACTAACAAAAGATATTGTATATTTAATGAGTTTCACGTGTTATTTATTTCAGCCCAAAATCCAAGTCGCCTCCAAATATGAGAGACGTGTCGACACAAGATCATATGATGATAAGAAAAAATTATTTGAAGGCGTAAGTATTCAAATATATTACTGAAACGTTAAAACATTAGAAATAATTTAAGATTCAAATATCTTTTTTTATACAAAAATAAGACAAAATAGGAATTCACAATCAAATTTCTTGAAAACGCCCATAGTAAAAAATAATATTACTTGCAACACCATACGAGTTCATATAATGAACATGTAAACATTAGCACACAAAAATCGGACTTTCTTAAAACCTCTAAACAATGAAATTAAAATAGTCCAGTTAAGTTTCACTTAATAACATTATCTGCCTATGTATACAGGGTTTCGACACATTGTTCTCTGAAGTAAATGAAAAGTCATGGAAACAGCGTTACGAACTATTCCAGAAACGTAGTAAAAGTAAGTTCGGGTACCCTACGAGTACGGCAATTGGAAACGTATTCTATCATACTTATTAGTCAGAAGCATATTTTTATCATTAAATATAAAATCTTGTTTTTCTCTAGTGTTGTCTTTCCATGCACGATAACGTTTATTCACCAGTTTGCCCCTTTATCTTCCGTTTATTATGATCGCACCAGAAAGACCTCTAAAAACGCTATTAGTTTCGCGTTTTAGGAGGTATCTGAAATCGACGCGTCTCTTATCGGAATCACTTTGTTTTCAATATTTGTCAATCTTATGTATTTCAATTTATTTGAAATTAAAACATTCTTGAAACCAAACGTTTCCGATAAGAGACAATCCCGATGAAAATAATTCTTAAGTGTGCCATTAATCTGAAGTTTTTACCATTTATCATTTTTTGTGTTTCCCAAATTTTATGTCTGTATATTTATTTTTGCATTATCGAATTGGGATTGAGAAGAGTGTGATGTGTTTTTACAAATATATTGCATCCTAATTCAATCCGTCAATCATTCAATATTTCATTATGTTTTGTATTGGACTGTTTACCCTAAAAACATTCACCTGCGCGACGCACGTTGATTTAATTTTAGTATTGAATAGCGATTTACTACTACAAAAGCGATGTCATTGTGGTACCATAATGCACAATGATAGAAACAATTATCTTAATAAGGTACGAGTATTTAAAAAAGCAGATCAAAGTTTTTGACCAGCCAAGATCATGTAAACATCTTATCCTATTTTATGAAACGAATCACCAAACCCCATGTGATCTAACAAACTGTTATGAAGCATCTGTGATTTTATCCCGTATTTAACAATTTATCCATAGGGTCTAGAAACTCAAAACAAAGAAGTCCTTGAACGCCTATGGTCCGATAGGAGCGAACAATTCGGTGGACGCCAAAAGAGTAAGTATTCCTTAGTCCTTCATGCGCGCTCACACACAAAATGTAGTTCTTCATTCCCGGCTTTGGCTCGATCACACGGAAAGTTTATTATCTGCGAGGTTGATAATATAGGTAGAAACCAAATATTTCGATAGCCTTTAGACTTTACTTTGTGGCTAAGAAATCATTTTGACTCCGATCACTTGAGAAATCGTTTCCACCTCACAACGTAAAAACCATTAAACTGCCTATGTTTCCAACCTCGCCAATATGAGACTTGAACTAAAGATTGAAGCTCTGACTCGTGTACCTATTCAATTTCGCTAACATTTACTAATATACTAAATTTTCAAGTTTTTATTATTAATTGGTCTAATTTATTAATATTTAATTACTTTCTAATAAAAACTATTTAAAAATAACAGTAGGAATGCATTGTGTGTGGCGCAATGTTAGTACTCAAAATTAGTTGAATTTGAATTAAGTAATCAATATCAAAATTCAGTTGAATTTTACTATCCAATTGAAAATAATCGCACATTATTCATCTTTTACTACTTTTTGAGGGGATTATTATCCAAATTTCAATCAAACTCATAGTTTATCATCAACTTATAGTCCATAAACCTCAATAAATGCAGTTCCAACTTCACAAAAGGTATAAAATAGTAAATGCTATATATGTAATATATTAGTTTTAATTTTAAATTTTACTTGAAACAAACTTGCATCTTGCATTTATATCCTTCATGTTTTTAATCTGCATATATTTATGAAAGTGAATGATGTTTCTGATACTAGTCGGTTTGACCTTTATCTACTAATAAAAATGCTTGAATTTTTTATGTGTCGATCATCTTTATGTAAAAATATAATAAAAAAAACTATAAAATATATAACTTAATTTTAGTTTATCAGCAATGAATAAGAAATTGAATATTTTACTTATTGTTAGTTTTACCTCCATGACAAAACGAATATAAAACACAAAAAAAAAAACAAAATAAGTAAAATGTTCTGAAGTAAATGAACAACTTTCTAATTTAAATTACTAATTATCTAGCTAAGCTTCCTAAATGGTTCGGCGAACGACCAGGCAAGAAAGCCGGAGACCCAGAATCACCCGAAGGTGAGGAAGAACTTAAGGTCGATGATGTCTTGGACGAAGAAATTGAAGAACCCACCTTTGAACCAGAACCAGAAGCTGAGGAGGAGGAGGAAGAAGAGGAAGAAGAAGAGGAGGAAGAAGAGGAAGAAGAAGAAGAAGAGGAAGAGGAAGAAGAAGAGGAATAGACGCGCCTTTAAACGTAAGGTGCTGAAAAATTTTGCTAAATGGAGTATTCATATATAAAAAAATAAGTTTTCTTAAATATACATAAAATAAAAATATTGTAATAAAAGCGTTGTAATCATTAAATACGATTTGTAACGAAAATTTGCATCTTGTTTCAGCTCACGCAATACTTATATACAGATTCACAAGATTCCTACAATTCAATACAATATGAATATGTAATAAATCATAGATTTTTTGTTAATTAATATATTAAGGACAAGAGAAAATAAACTCATCTATATTTCAACTAAATCTTGTTTTTCTTGTATACTGAAAATAGATTATGAAACTCGTAATATAATATATGTATATATCTTTATTATAATCACAGTTACATTTAACATTTTTCAGTAAAATACATTATTTTTATTTTGGTAACAAAATATTTATATCAATAATTATGTACTATGCCCCATATATAATAAATAGGTGGCCGCCAGCCTATATGCAATACTCGAAAAAAAAAATATAAATTAAATTCAAGTTTTACTTAATTTCAAATGTGAACTTCAAATTCAAATACGAAAACGTATTTTATGTGACCCTGAACTGAAACACTAAACGTTTTGTAATAATATTTTCATTTGTTCAAATAATACAGTTTTCATACTGAAGTATCAATACTGTATCTTTCGTTTTCGCATAATTTTCAAAAGATAGTTCACAGCACTTTTAGGAATAAAGTATTAAAAAAATATGGTGAAGAATCATACCTCGTTAAATACAGAGTTGACTTAATTTAACCTTCAATCCTCCTATTTGCATTTAGACTGATCAAAAAGACGTATAATTTGAATTTGTTTTGTAATTGCTTTTGACTAAACCCTGAAGCAATCAGATCAGTCAAACAATTGGGGTCGCATTTTATAACATATAAAGGCATATCATAAAATATACTATTTTCACAACAGTATTAAAAATGTATGCCAAGAATTGACATTTCAATATATTCAGTAAATATTTGATGTTGCTATGAAAAAGTCAGTTCAAACTATAAATTATGCCTTAATTCATATGCACACAAATTGACTATCGGCCACTTTATTATTCATAAATATTTCTATCATAAGACATTAACATATGCATACATTATATCAGATAAAAACCACGTTTCCTGTCAGTTTAGTCTAATTAATATCATAGAAAATTAGAGATTCTTGATATTTTGTAAAGCACGTTTATGGGTTAATCAGTTATGAGCATTTATGATTCGAAATGCACAATGAATGCAATTTATAACAGTATAATTATTTATTTTATTAAGACACATTCACATTATATATATATATATATATATATATTAATTAATTAAAATTGTTTCCATCTCCTAGCAAGACCATTTTTAGTTTGATTATATTAGAGCAGACTCAGAAGAAAATAAATAAATATTCTCTTAATTATACTATATTTTTGAGGCAAATAGCAAAAACTACATATTAACTATATTAAAAAATCAATACGTAGTTTAAATAGATCAAGGTTGATCTCCAAGAAATACTATGTATTATTATAGTGGAATAAAAATGCCTTCATATCACATTTACGCTGTACACCTTCTTCCCTATTATAAAATGCATTAAAAACAATATATATATATATATATATATATATATATATATATATAATCTTAAAACTAATGTGAAATTCATCATTTTTAAATAAAAGCATTTGATCATAAATGTTAAATGATAAACATTTACGTACTTTAACATACTCACAATTAAGCTTCTGTAATCATCACATCAATGAGACTTCTTTAAGCAATAAGTTATGACACAATTGAAATATTTAGTAAAGAATAACACCTTAATGTAAAAGAAATTAATATTCATTTAACGATATTATTAAAGTTTCCACAAACATCAAACCATTAGTCTGCCATATATGCTGTTTTAGTTTTTGCAAGATATTCAGAAGATATTTCAAAATAATACTACTATTAGCTATAACAAATTCTATTCTTTAGCTATATATTCAGATACTTGGAAATCAATGTAATAACTGCCACAGTGCTTCACGTAAGTTATATTTACCTTTAAGTACTTCAAACAAATATTTTTTCTATTGTTCTTGGAGCTCTCACTCCAATCTATTTAATAAATATAAATGACTAAAAGAACATGATTATGTAAAATTAAAAACATATAGCCAATTATCCATATATTTATTCAAATTGCAAAATTATATTTGCATGAAACCAAATGAATGAAATACTCATTTTTGAATATGTACAAAAATAATATGCAAATGATAAGAAAAATCAAAAACTTGGAAATAAGTGAAAATTAATTAATTAATTTAATATTGAAAACATTCTGCTAAATCATTCAGCTATTAATATTAATTTGTCTTACATATTAGAATAAACAAAACACAAAATTGAATTTAATGTAGTGTTTATATCATTATTGTCTTTTGTTAGTTGAAATAAAACTGTAAAATCATAAATTAACTATCCACAATTTATAATAAATAATACTGAGAATATGTGATAAAAACAGATTCAGAATTGGTTCGATATTTGTGGAATTCAATAAGATATATTCCAAATAACTATTGGCAAATAATTATTATTTTTATGCATACAAGGTAGATACATATTTGCATAGTAACTATTTTATAGTATAGTTGTGATGTAGAACTCTTTGTAATTTCTCCATTCAAAATGAAACATAATAATAAGAAACAGTTGTCCAGCAAAATCATAGACTTTCAACAATTGCTTGTTATTGCATTTAAACTTATTAAATTATTTTTCATAATATAAAAATATAAGTTGGAAGTATTTAGACCATGAGAGTTTCAGTTTATTTTGACGACATTATAGAGCATTTAGGAAGATAATTAAACAGTAAGTTTCTTTATCAAGTTTATTTAGCATTTACTGTGAATGAAACACAGTCAACACTTTTCCTTTTGCCTAAAGTAAAAAACTTTATCATATATATTTGTATGTGCAAACATATATAGAAATAAATTTTCTGATACTTCAGACAAAAGAAAAAATATTGATAAAGCATCATTCACTGTAAATGCTGTTATACTAATAAAGATGCTTCAAGTTCAACTAAACTAAATAGTTACTAATTAAGTTGCCATGTGACAAGCATCTACCGATAGCATGAAATTTGTAATATGTATTATCAATTGACTAATAATAAAAAATGTGTAAATGCTGATATAAATACTTTAAGTTTCAGTATGTATATAAAATTTTATATATGTATGCATACATGTATACATATACCTATTATATATAACAATGTTTTAAAATATAAAAAATAAAGCTACTTTCAATATTATAGTGACTATGTTCTTAAGCCTTTACTTTTTCTTTTCATACGAGCGTAGGGTCCTATGTCAGGATCCATAACAAAATCATATAGCACTGCAGTCCAAGAATTATGATGAGGCAAATTATCATAAAACTCAGAAGCTATTCGTTTCACCTAAGAACATTTTATGCATGTATATCTGCTTCGTCATTAAATTTATAATTAAAACAAAAAATGATACTTAAAGTATTCAATAAACCATAAACTTATTTGAAATTTTATATATAAATATTATAATCATGGACTTACCTCAGGAAGGTACCTTCCAGGAACGTAAGGAAAATCATGATGTTCATTGTGATATCCTACATTAAATGTTATCCAGTTCAGAGGTCCATAATAACTATATGTTTCATAACCTTTCTTAAACATATAATGCTCAGAAATAAAATGACCTGAAAATTATAATACAAAAAATATATTTTCAGATTTGAAATTTTCACATACATAATATGTGCACACATATTAAAAGTAATGATACCTGCTACTGGATGAAGGCCCATTGCCATCAGTGATCCAAATATTAAATAACCTATAACTCGACCACCTGCAAAAATAGGTTGTATTCAATTTTATGTATTGAATATTTTATTAAATAAACTTACCAAAAAAATACCACACAATTCCATCAAATGTTAATTGTATAACTAGATTTACAAGTTCTAATTTTGTTGGCGGTTTGGGATAGACCATAAATGGTCTCAAGGCATAGAAAAATGGTTGTAACATAATCCAGAAAAATTTTCCAACTGTTGTACAAAATAATTTAGCCTCCACTAATGTGGGCAAGTCAGTGTCAATTACTTCATCTCCTTGGTACTATAACAACATATATTGTATTTAAAACATAAGTTAAAATTTAAGAAATAACGGTAATAGAATTTAATATAACATATTACATAAGAATTTAAACAATTAATTGCTAGTTATTGCTTATTATTGATTAAAAGAAGTGGTTAGTTATTTTGAGATACCTTATGATGTTCCAAGTGATATTTTCTAAATGATATTGAAATAGGAAGTCCAATTGGAAGGTTACAGAAAAATCCAAAGAGTCGATTGTGCATTGGACGACTATGTCCAAAAGCCAAATTATGTGAAATCTCATGAATGGCTAGAAGTGTTTAGTCACACAATTAATTAAAGAAATTAGAACAAACAAAAATTCAAATCAATTACCAAGCATCAATGAATGATTTATTACACCTCCAAAGCAATATGCGGCAAGAAGTGTGATAGGCCAGGACTGGTCTTTTATTATAAATATCATAATGAACTGAGATAATACCATTGCACTTGCTACCCATTTAAATCTTGGATCGTATCCGAACAGCTTTTTAATTTGTGGATACTTTTCTGAAGAAAAAAAAAAAGTTAATACAAATTATAGCCCAGAAACATTAAGTACAGTAGAACCTCGTTTATCCGGACCTCAGTCATACAGATTCGCGATTATCCGGACTACTAACCGCGACCAATTTATATGTATGTACTAGAGATAGGCTTATCATATCCGAAGCCAGAAAGGAGTTATATCCACTTAACAACTACACAACTCGAAAAACTTTGAAACCGAAATATAGACAAAATTGTGTTCTATAGTGTGTTGTTTATGTATATAAGGATTTGTCAAATCCCATTAATTATTTGAAATTCTTTTATAAACAGTTCAAACATATTTGTTGATATTTTTATAAAAAGTCATGGTTTTAAGCATTTCTATATGCTTGCAAATCCCAAGTGGTATGCTGAAAGTGAGAATATTTTAAATTATCAAGAAAAAAAACCTAAAAATTAAAATGAAAATTTTCTTTTAATGAGAAAATAATTGATTTTTTGGATTAATTTCATATAAAATAATATAATTGCTTCCTTCCCAAAGCAAAAACGCAGTAACAGATTCAATACCAGTTTAGGAAAGTCAGATATGACAAAATCTCCAACACAACTTCGCTCAGATTCACTCCGAAGAAGGAGTTGTATCGGAGTGATAACTCCGGAGTGAGTTACCCATCACTAGTATGTATATACTTACAATTCAAATGTTTGCATGATTAATGCTGCAGTTCAGTATTTGTATGTAATGTAATCTAAGATAATATGTATGTATTACAAAAGGAAGTGTTAATTTCTTAATGAACATTGATTTTCGTTGATATCTATGTATGTATTTGTTATTTTTAATAAACACAACATTATTCTTCGTACATTGAATTATACGGATTTTTGATTATCCGAATGCCTATCGACAACAATTAGTCCGGTTAATCGAGGTTCTACTATCATTTTTAAATCAGTGCCAATTGTTGCACAATCCACAGTCATTAGTTGGAAGGAATAACATGAATATTTTCGAAATCAGAGATAAACATAAATAAATAAAATATATGTAATAAATGAAACAAATCATGCACGAAAATCAAAACTTGCTTAAAATCATTTCTCGCCGGCTGGCATGCGGCTCTTCTGTCAAAACCCATTCGAAATCTGTTCTAGAAACTTTTGCACCCATATCGTAAAATAGAAAACACTATAACATTGCAAAAAATAAAAATGGTTTAACTACTCGGAAGTGCCCGTTGTTAAATAAATAGATTAATTAATTATTTATTCAACATGACCAAATATGACATAACCACACTGCAAACGTCAAACACACAATAGAAATGTATCACAGATAACAGATAACATGTACAAAGATTAAGAACTCGTGACGAAACTAATTTGTCGCTGCATTTTTATTTTGATGTTATCAAGTTGATAACAACAACCCAAAACATTATTTCAATTATACTGATAAAACAGACATGACCATAATTAAGAAAACACACTTTAAATTTTAATGATTAATCCTGAAAATAATTACTTAAAAAATGCTTACTTGACCGCCTAGAATTAAAAATTATACGTCTATGTCTTCTTGCTGACAGTGACATTCTTATCAATTTTATCATTTATTGAAATGTTATTATTAATTTTATAATCTTGTTAATTGTTAACTTTTGTTGTTTATTATTCTAATGAGGAAAGCTTATACATAGATCTTCTGCAAGTGAAATGAGTTTTCTTTTGTAAGTGATTTTTCTTATTGAATTGAAAATGCACTTCCTTATAAACAATTTATCTTGTTTTTGTTATGAACAACTTTACAAAATATCAGTCTTGACGTTTTATGTTAATTTACAATCTACTATAAATATAATATTTAATGACCATTTAATAGCTATAACTATTGAGATATGTTAGAAGAAGTAAAACAATGGAACATGTAATAATTGCTGAAATAAAAGATGATACATAATTAAAGTGATTGACTAACTCAATAGAGCTAAGTATTGTTTATTCTATGTTAATTCTTATCATCGATGTTCTGTTACCACAGTGGGAGCAGATCTAGTAAGACTTTCAAACCTAAGAAGAACATACCTGAAGGTACTCATCAATATGACTTAATGAAACATGCTGCAGCCACGCTTGGTTCTGGTAATCTTCGTCTTGCTGTTATGCTGCCCGAGGGAGAAGATCTAAATGAATGGGTTGCTGTGAACAGTTAGTGTTATAAATTGACATTTAATCAATAATATTCCTTCGAGTTTGATTTGGATTTTATCAATGCATGTTAATATCTTTATAGTTCTCTCATTTATCATAACATTATTTATAAACTGAAGAATAATATAGTTCAAATATTTTGTTTTTTTGCAGCTGTTGATTTTTTTAATCAAATAAATATGTTATATGGAACTATAACAGAGTTCTGTACTGAAGAATCATGTGCTATAATGTCAGCTGGCCCAAAATATGAATACCATTGGGCTGATGGGCATACTGTTAAAAAACCTATAAAGTGCTCAGCACCGAAGTATATAGATTATTTAATGACTTGGGTTCAAGATCAACTTGATGATGAGATGCTATTTCCTTCAAAAATAGGTATTACTTATAAAATAATTGTGTATGAGTTGTATGCAGTATTTAATTATTATATCCATTTATAGGAGTGCCTTTCCAAGAAACTTTCAAGTTATAGCCAAAACTATTTTAAAACGCCTTTTTAGGGTTTATGCTCACATATATCATCAACATTTTACGCAAGTAGTGCAATTAGGAGAAGAAGCTCATTTAAAACTAGCTTCAAGCATTTTATATTTTTTGTTCAGGTTAGCTTGAAATATATACTTTCATAATATAAAACATGATTTCATCTTTTTCATAATTTTAGGAATTCGATTTGATAGACAGGCGAGAGTTAGCACCATTACAAGAATTAATTGATAAATTGACTGCTCAAGAAAGTAGATAATAACTGCATAATTAATTTTTTTTTGCTAAGTAAAATTTATCAGATACAATAACCAATGTTGACTATGGATAACATACTCATTAATTGGTATTACAACTAAGACGCATTAGTAAAATACTGATATATTTTTCTATCCAAATTATTGTGCTTAATAATGAAATTATATTATCACTGTGGTAACGGCAGTTATTGGCACTGTTGGACCTGAGGGCATACGTGTTCTATGTTCACACAATGCACGTATTATTTTGTATTAAGAGGTGATGTGAGGCACATGACATATTTATATTAATAAAAATATCTTGATATATCACAATTTATTTTTTTCTATTTTTTATAACATCTACATAAGTTTTAATTTTATAGAAGATGTTGCATTAGTATTTTGACATTAAAAAATAATTATATTATTTTAGTACAGCTAATGTCTAATTAATTCATACATCCTGAATTTTCTTCAAGAAGTCATCACATAAAAATATTTAACCCGCTAAA